ATTGAATAGTTCCCTACGTACACTTTGTTTTCAATTGTCAAAGCGCAATGAAACGAGTTTACATACTTTCAACTCTTAGTTTGAAATGTGCTAAATTGAATAGTGCAATTGCTAAAAGTAAACGAACAAAAAATATCAAATTACTAAATTATAAACCGGAATGGTTTATAATGGTTTACTCAAATATCCTACGTTCTGGTTCTTTAGTCGGTTATCGGAGATCATTGACAAAACAAAAGAAAGAAACCCACAAAAAATGAGATAAGAAATCTTATCTTTAATATGTCACACACACTGTACTTGTTTTGGATGCAGACACAAAGTATCTTTGTTTTTGTTCATTATCTTAAATTTTTCGTTTCTTTTCCTGAAAAAACGAAGAATCTTTTTTCCAGTCTCAACATTTGTTTCATTGATGTGTTATTGAATTCTCTTTATTGATCTTTTTTAAAAAAGCTTTATGAGAAAGCAGCGACCCTCGTTAATTAGTACATGTGTACTGATCATCTACTTCATTATATTTATCCAACTTTGAAATTCAGTGACCTACGTTAATCTGTAGAAAAAAGAATACGTGTAAGATATACGTATGTATTTAATATTTGATTAATGCACTTTCACCATGTACTGTGTTATTTTCAGTTTACGATTTGAAAATAAATTAACGTTTGTTTTTCTTTTTTTTTGTTTATAAAGGATATTCAATTTAAAGGTAGCAAATATTACAAAGGTATGACCTTTTGGATTATATAGTTTCTTGGAAAAGTTTTACGTAAATTAACGTTTGTTACAGAACTCAAACATTCGTTAATGTATGAGAAAATTCTTAATTATCAATTAACTGATTAGTTGTTTGTTAATTGTTTTTCAGCATAATCATGTGATTGTTCTTCTCTCATTTTTTTTTTTTTTTGCGGAGACGTGATGATGAAGTCGAACTCATATATATGCATGAGATATACACATAAATTTGTACCATTTGACTACGACGACATCGGCGAGGATTGATTAATTTTTAACCAAACTTGATTGATATTGGTTAACTATACCATTGAATATGTTAGTTCTCCACATATACCAAACATTTTTCTTCATTTCGTACTCACTTGTAGCGAGTACCTGAGTATGTATAGCTTTTCGAAATTAAAAGGAAAACAATTTTTTTATGATTCGAGCGAGTAGCTTAAGATAATTGTACCAAACGCATGTATAAAGTAACTTATGGTCTATCTAACCTGTAGACGATGGTCTAACTAAACTCTAAAACCCCAAAGATGGTAAAGACATGACCTGCAATTCCGACAATAAGAAGAGATGCCGATAAATTGTCTTTGACTTTTAGTGGACCAAAATTTATCATATCCAATAGCATGTGAAAATAAACATTATTAAGTAATACAACATGAAATAATAACCCAGAAAGACATCATGAACAATCCTTAAGCAAATACACTAATTTCCATAAAATTGAAGTGGCAAGTACCCCTTCCAAACCTTCACTTCCGCCCCCTCTGTGAACAGTCAACTCGAGCTTCTTGGCTAGAACAACAAAAACATGACATAATTAAACTTTTCAGTTCTTATGTACTTAGATTTTCATATATACATATGATGAACTTTTTAATAATACCGTAAAATATGACATGACTATCAGTGCAACATATACAATTTTGATAGTTGAAAGAAAACTACAAGTCATCGAGTGGTTCTTAGTTTAGTGGTTTTTGCGTAAGAAAAAAATTATAGTTAGAATCTATTTGGAAGAAAATAAATTTTCAAAATAAAATAAATAAACGTTGATTTAGATTGAACCCACGATAAATCCGAATTTCAAAATTAATTTACAAAGGGTATAAATCTTCTACATAGAGTATTTTTAAACACGGTAGGAAAAGAAAAAAAAATGAACGGTACTATATTTCTAGAAGTTACGTAAGCAAAGTATATTTCAAGAG